GAACACGCTTGGTCAATATGGACCGAAACAACGGCGCCTCCTGTACTTACAGCACTGGCCCCCGCCTTAGAGTACAATGCTGCAATTTATATTGGCTGTTATTTTTATTTATATGATTAGTATATTGTTCATGTCAATTGCGTGTAGATCACGTATGCACGTAACTGTCATAGATCCTTTGACATTTACTAGTAAACATGCTCGTTCGTTGCAACGGACGAAAAATAAATCAAATGTTCATGACAAAGGATAATGGGAGTGGTACATATATATATTTATTATGGTTTACCTTTTGTATACAATTCCAAAGCCATGATTTATTATATGATGACCATGGCATCCATAATATAATTTAATATTAGCAATAATACGACAATGTCATGTTAAGCCTATATAAAATTAAAATACAATGTTGATAGATTTTTTTCTCCCATTGCAAAGCATAGAAATAGTTAGAGGTAATCATAACTGTAATTTTCATACTATCCATGTGTTGCTAAAATTAAATATCGAGTTTGATGACTTTCTTTAAGGTTACATAAAAATTTATAGTTTAAATCAAAGTCACAAGGTTTGGTTTGTCCGCTGATATTTATGATAGGAGACCTCTCTTGTTTTTCAACAAGTCCTCATCGGGATTGTGGTGATACATTTATTAAGACTGGATTAGATAACAAAGTACTCAAGTTTTCAGTTTATGATTTAATTAGTTGGACTATAAGCTGATAAAAATTTTAATGTATATCTATATCCTAATATTAAAGAGGCAAAATTTCTCTTCACCCATTTTTCTTGTCCACCTCGCCGTAGCTACCTGGACAGTGGAGAGTTTCCTCTGTGTCTCGTATGTGACCCGAACTCATGATGCATACTTATATGAGTTAGGACAACTCACATCTATTAAGGATGAATACAGAGTCTAATTCCAATACGTATTGGGTCGCGCCATAAGTATCTCACATGTGACGCCGGACTCATGGCTTGCGTTCATTTGAGTTAGAACAACTCGCATTTTAGGATGACACATAGTCCTATTCCTACACATACTGGTTCCGTTACAATGCACGTGTGCGTTTGCTATAAGGATAACTTTTGTTTCGAATCAAAACTAAATCAATAATTTAGTTTGCAGAAATCTTTGTTTCCTATAGAAGTGTCAGTGGTTTAAATGACTCATGATATTATATTTATTATTTGTTTTTAGAAAAAAAACCCACACGGTAGGACTGGGGTAACCAAACAAATCGGAAGCTGACATAAAAAACCGGAAACAGAGGAACGGGGAAAGGGATACTGCATGGGACGCAGAAAAAAGGAAACAAAGATGCGATGTCATGCTCGTAGCCTCGTACACATGTGGTTCCAATTTGCCTATCTAACGGACGATATCAGCGGCTAGTTTGTCGCGTCCTACACATGTGTGATGCGTGCTAGTCGTCTTCTGGTTCGATGGGCCAACCGGTGCGTGTGGTTACCGGTCTACTTCGATCGTCTATAATTAAGTTGACGTCGAAAGCCAAAAATGATTTCAAACTGTACAACATTGGTGTAACACTCTAAAATTTGTTTCTCTTGAAATAGAGCTAAAATGATTTAATTTTATATTTTTATGCTCATGAAAACAAGGAAAAATAATAAATTTTTATTAGATTAAAATTTATCTTAAGGTAGAAACGTGTATGTTGCATTCATGCCGGTCGCAGCTTGTGTTTCTATGTGCAAAATATATATTTTTTAAAAATATGTTTATGAGACGAATATCTATCTATAGAAATTTTCCAACTTCTTTTTAGAATTTAATTCCTACCTCTTCACCTTAATCTTTATGTTCCAAGTTCCCCACAATCTTTTCTAGAGCTCCAAATATTTTATTTGAGTTCATCATGTTCCAAAGTGTCTCTCGAAATTTTTCCTAAATTTTTGGAGATCTCGGAGTATTTTTCGTGGCTTAAATATCAATTATGGACTTTTCTAGAATTATTTTATTTGTAAAATTAATTAATTTCGAAAATAAATAATATATCTTATTTTCCAACCAACTCTTAAAGGCCATGTGCAATAATCCTAATAAATCTCAAAGGCCCATGCATTTATTTACTAATGGGTTTTAATGATTATTTAGGTCAATTAGTAAATGTGGAGGGTGCAATATCAATTAGTACCATATTGCTAGTTGATGTAGATGTGGGAAGTTTTTCTTCCTATAAATATGTACCAACTTCTTGGGCAAAGCGCACCAAAACTACCGTAAGGGAAGCCCCTAGTTTGGGAAATCCCTCGTGTAGTAAATTATATTTTTCTCCTCCATCTCTCGCCGTCGCCGTCGCCACTGCGCTGCCCAACGCCGTAGACCCATCGTCGACCGCAAGAAGGTCCTAGGTGAGTTCGCCATCTTCTTCTCTTATTCCCTGTGCTCTCGGCTCGTCAAACCGTAGCCTCTAGTTCCCAAACTAAGCGCTCCGGGGAGCTTCTCGTCGCTGGTAATGGAGCTCTACCATGCCGGTTTTCTTCTCCTGCCGGTGACTCTCTCTCCTCCTCCTTTCTAATCTGGGTCGTCCCAATTCAATCCAACGGTCCAAGATCGCTCGTACCCCTTAGACGGGTTTATTGGCAAAAGAGCCCCTGCAGTTTCGCGTAATATAACCCGCAGTCCATGACGCACTTCTAGAATACGTTTTTCTATTTCGAAAGCGTTGTTAATTTCTAGTAGATTCAGAATACGTTTTCTCTTTTAGAAAGCGTAAAATCCCTCTGTTAGATTTAGAATACATTTTCTTCTTTCAAAAACGTAGTTTCTTCGGTTGGATCCAAACTACGTTTTCATCTATTTACAGTTTTGTCACTAGTCTTATTTAGGCCATAAAATCTTCGTTTTAACTCCGTTTTGATCCATTCAAGTTGCGTTAGATTCGTAATTGAGTAATCTACATGTTCATCCTACTGTTAAATATATTTTCAATTTTTAAAATTCGAGATTAAAATTTAATCTATTATTTTATTAAAGGAAATCTTGTTTAGTTCATAACTTTTCTGTTATAGCTCCGATTAGCGTGCTTTTCGCGTTTGTGTGTTCGTAGTAACGTGTAGAACATCTTTAAAATATTTTTGCTTGCTGTTTCATATGTTTGGTGTACTATTCTAATTTATTTTTATTGTTTGCTTCGTGTATGATTGCATGGATGCTTGTGTGGTATTTTATGATCATGTCTAGTCAGTGAGCTATACGCGGTGAATCCAGAAGAAATTCATTGAAGGTTTGGACTAGAAGAAGGATCCGAGTTCAAGACAAGTATAGCATGGGATCTTCCTTGTTGTTCTATTCACCTTAATATCATTTTAATCATATACATGTGTCTATCTTAGCAATCATACTAATTTTTCTAGCTAATTGATATCCTGGATTCCTTGATTCCTATGGGTTATTACATTGGTTAGTATGATGCTAGTGCTCAAACTAAAGTCATGATCTTGTAACTTGACTAATGGTATATGCAATCAACATTAAAAGATGCTTTTTAGCAACATGGAACAAAGGGCTAGAGCATTGGGCTATTTTATGGTGCTCTAGATTCCTCTCCCTAAGGACTTATCTATAAGCGAACATCCGGAACTTACAGTACAGCTGTGAGGGTTACATGGCTCTGGCTTTAGCTCAGTATGATGACCTTTTCTAGCTTGTTAGTGGTTACCTTTATGGCGCAAGAGGGGCTTCGACAGGTATGATCTCGGCCTGCTAAGAGGGTGCACTTTAGTTTCTTGGTATTTTGTTAGTCACTCTTTGGAGGGGGGTTCATGCTTATTGATGGGAAAACCTTAGCGGCTCTAAGTTGTTAGACGAACCTTTGAAAGGCTTCATAGTGAACCCTACCGACCTTCCTTGGTAGTGGGTCAAGAGGTTGGCCGCCTCGGGCGAAAGGGTAAACCACGACTCATAGTGAAAGTGTACAACCTCTACAGAGTGTAAAACTGGTATATTAGCTATACTCATGGTCACGAGCGACCTTGAACCCTTACGAAATAAATGATGAACACTGATGATACTGATGATGAAGATGCTCACTAATTATTACTGTTTATGCTATTCATTATTCATGTTTACATGACCATATGTTTATATGGGCTAGTGAATAAACTCGTTGCCACCCAATTGCTAAAAGATGACTCATTAAAAGCTAATTGCAGTTAAACCAATGTCAGCCTTTTGAGCCTCATGAACCCCATGTTATATTTGTTGAGTATGACATGTATTTACGCTTGCTTTACTTTTTAAATCTTTGAAAAAATCTCGGATGGGTACCAGATTGCTAGAGTTTGGAGGAATTAGGCTTACGATCAACCAGTCAGTTGTCCCTGTGGAATTGGAGTTTTCACCCGAAGATTGGAGTTGTCTTTCCACTGTTTGATATCTAAGGTTATATCCTTTATACTAAGTATGTTATATATTAAGCATTGTCTATTGATATTACCTTTATTTGTAGCTATATATGAGATTTGACTTCCTGGGCTCACATATGGTGTGTATCTGGTTTTGTCCTTAAAACCGGGTGCTACAGTGGCAAGGCTAGTTCACACTACAGCACGTGATCTAGCTTTACGCGTGCAATTTTTACACGAGATATGATGTGCTGGCTCGCTAGTAAGGCCAGTGTCAGAAGGTTTTATGTCTTAGTTTTCAACGCACTCACATTTTGAAAACGGTTCAGAAGAATTTTATCCTCATGAAACTCTCTCTACTTCAATAAACTTTTATCGTCTCTCTCTTCAGCAATACAATGCCATATCAGCGTATTTAATGTCTATGAAACTCTATGCAACTCCTATTGAGATTAGTCTAAATAGGCAGCGGTGTGTACCGTACACATTACAAGCATTCCACTACATATTAAAATAATTGGCGATAACCCGCTTACACAGTCGGCATCTTTGACTATAAATTGACACTTGCATCAGCCTCTCCTACTATACACAAGCAGCTCAAAACTTTAGCCAGCTAGCAAGACATGGCTCCACTTCTTGCTGCTGCCATGAATCACACTGCCCATCAAGGCCTTAGAAGCCATCTAGGACGACCCAATAATGGGAGTTTCTCACGGCACCACCTTTCTTCGTCACCACAAAACAGTAAGCGAAGGTGTAACCTTAGCTTTAGGCCACGAGCTGAAAGAGTAGCAGGCAGTGAGAATGGAGTCCAAAAGCTGAGCTCCTGGGAAATCCCTAAAAGGGACTGGTTCCCCTCTGACTTCATCTTTGGCGCCGCCACTTCAGCATACCAAGTATTATTTTCTAGCACGAATGTTTACATCTTTGTTAGATATGAAAGGAAAGTAGTGTTAACAGTTGTTACAATGACAGCTAATACCTAGAAGAAAAAGAGATGATGTGTGTGAATGCATTGTACGAGCTGTTTGGTTTTACCGACAGTAACGCAAACGCAAATGATTTAAAGCTGCAGACCTTACCGGCGGAAAATGCAATTGAACTAATTTCATTTACGTTTACGTTGCTACTGAACCAACCAAACACTATGATATTTTAATTATTTGTTTGATATGCACAAAATAAGTGCTATACATATGATATATATGTGCGTAGATCGAAGGTGGTTGGAATGAAGATGGAAAGGGGCCAAGCAGTTGGGATCACTTCTGCCACACTTATCCGGGTAACGTACATATACCCCAGCGGCCCAGCATTTTTTTTGTTTATAATAATAAGCCCGCAGGCTGTATATGTTCCAACAATAAGATGCAATTTTCAGTGTATAACCATCATATGTGATGTCCTTCTTTCCTTAATTCTTCCTTTTCGTTCTTTCATGTGCATATCATCAATAGAAAGGATAGCGGACGGTAGCAATGGGGACGTCGCAACCAATTCGTACCATATGTACCCTGTAAGTACTGAGATTATGTCATTGATGACTAGCTATATTATAATTACCTGGAAGTACCTCAGATATATTGTATGCAGTTAGCTCTGTTAAAATGTAAATACGTATGATTATGAAGGGATCTATTTTGTATTGTGCAGATTTTTTGTGGCAAAAAATTGTTAATGTATATGCACTACTAACTTAATATGCTTGTTAATATATATTGTCATCATTATTTATGTTAGTATACTTTTGGCTGACAGGAGGATGTCCGATTACTGAAGGAAATGGGCATGGACGCCTATAGGTTCTCCATCTCTTGGCCCAGAATACTGCGAGTAAGTAATACTCCTTCTGTTCTAAATTATAAGTCGCTTTGACTTTTTCGGTTCATCCAATTTACTATGTATCTAAACATATTATTATATCTAGATGCATAGCAAAATGAATATATCAAAAAAGTCAAAACGACTTATAATTTGGAACGCAGGGAGTACATATTAAAATTACGAAGTATGTTTTCCACGGTGCATGCATTAATGCATCCAATAAGGCAATAAGGGTTGTTGGATTGTTATGATGCTAATTTCAGCGTATGCTTACGACTTTCTGAAGGGACACTCGAAGGAGGTATTAACTGGGAAGGCATCCACTACCACAAAAGGCTCATCAACTTGTTGCTAGAGAACGGTAAAAACCCATTTCTCTTCCTGGTTAGATTAGCAGCTTAATTAATTAATGAAGATCGTAATCCAGTGAGAAAAAGTTTTCACACGAATCATTTTTTACTCATTGCAACCCAGGCATACAGCCATTTGTAACAATTTTCCACTGGGACACGCCTCAAGCACCGGTAGACAAGTACGGTGGCTTTTAAGATCAGAGGATTGTGTAAGTACTATACACAGTTAGAATGATATGCTCACATCTATCATTATTTAGTCTACTTGCTCTCACTCCTTGCACAAACAAAGAATACCAATGAGAGGACGGTGATTCTGGTGTTTCATACATTTTGGACAATGAATTTGTATGATTTAATTTCATTATGGTTCGCATCAAAAGTATTAGAGAAACAGCATCATCAATTGTCATTCATGGAATTGCCAGTTAATTAGCATATATAACACATCATTCGGTTTTGCAATTTTTCAGAAAAGATCACACAGACTTTGCTAAGGTGTGCTTTGAGAAATTTGGTGACAAAGTGAAGAATTGGTTGACTTTTAATGAGCCCCAGATATATTTTGTTCTATGTCATACGGAACCGGGACCCTTGCCCCAGGGCGGTGCTCACCGGGACAAAAATGTGCTGTCCCAACTGCAAACTCACTCACTGAGCCATACATTGTTGGCCACAACCTTCTCCGAGCCCACTCTGAGGCTGTCGATCTTTACAACTAGTATTACAAGGTACCTATATATATATTCAAAGACTCTCATATACACTCTTCTAAATTAATAGGTAGTGGTACAATATATACTCCAATATTGATAACTAAATTGCAGGGTGAGAACGGACGCATAGGGCTTGTGTTTGACGTAATGGGTTATCTGCCATACGAAAATACGTTTCTGGATCAACATGCCCAAGAAAGGTCCATGGACCTTAACCTAGGATGGTTCTGGAGCCGGTGGTTCGTGGTGACTACCCTTTCTCCATGAGATCGTTGGCAAGGGAACAGCTACCCTTCTTCACTGACAAAGAGCAAGAGAAGCTAGTGCACTACCTCAGATCTGGACATCACTGTCGGTTCAAAAACCCTCTTCACTGCCGGATTTTGAACCGACAGTGGCATACCGACAGTGATGGGGGTTGGCATCACTATCGGTTCTTAAAAACCGACACTGATCTATAGGCAACAGTGTCGGTTCCTGGCAACACCCGACAGTGTTTAGTTGAACAACACTGCCGGTTTGTAGTCCAAACCGACAGTGATGGTTGCTTCAAGAGTGTCGGTTCTTGGCTCAAGCCGGCAGTGTTGAGCAAGCCAACACTGTCGGTTCATGGCTCAAGCCGGCAATATTGAGCAAGCCAACACTATTGGTTCATGGCTCAAGCCGGTAGTGTGGAGCAAGCCAACACTATCGGTTTGTTGCTAACCGGCAGTGATGGTTACGACAACACTGTCGGTTTGTTGATAACCAACAGTGACGGTTACGACAACACTGTCGGTTCGTTGCTAACCGACAGTGATGGCCCGTTCGCATTTTATTATTTTATAATTGATTTTAATCTATATTTTTTTGTGGAATCAGGTTTCGCTTTATATATGCTACGTAGACGACAGGTCCATCAATATTAAACATTACAAATGTTACGGTTACAATTCAAATGTTCTTATCCAGATCTCGATCCCACAAAATAAAAAAGAAATGTTCTCGGACTTCACAGATTGTGCAATGCTTCTTGTACTTCTTACAATAATCTGGCGAGCTGCTCTGGGCCATACTGGTCCTTGTATTTCACGGATTGTGCAATGGAAAATACTCCATCTTTTTCCAATACCTCGGCTAAGATAAATTTTGTCAGCTCCGATTGCAGTGCGACGATCTCCATGTCTAACAACCTTTGGTGGTTATATTTCTTGCGCTGTCGTTCAAAAAAGATGATATCCAAAGAGAAACAGTAAATTATTTTGTTGAATTATTAACAGACATAAATAAAAAGGGGATTATACACACCAACTTATCGGTTTCTTCTGATTTCCCGCCGATGTAGCGAAGCATTGCCCACATTACATAAAACCCGCATTCATTGTTTCCCGCCTGCTGTGATAGGTACTTCCCCTCCATTTCGACAACCTTGAATGGGATTGACGTTCCACCGATATGTCTTCTTCGGACACTGAGCAGCATTAAAGGGAGAAATATTAGAAAGCGGTATGTGTGATTAGAAAATAATATGTTATTAGGATCGCTTACTAATTCAGCACTGCCACCCATGCATCCAGATGATGAAATGATTTTTTCTTCGAGTCCCACACATCGATCATATTTTTGGCAAGATTGACACAAATGAAGATGAAATGGTTGCTGCAATCATCGAATCCTAATTATCGAATAATCTTAACGAAAAAAGAAGCATAAAATTAAAAACCGAGAACACATACTCGTAGTTGTAGGCTAGAAGTATGTGAGTTTTGTTCTTCATCATGAATTCATCGAAAACAGTAATCAATATATGTTTTAGGTCTTTCACGTCACATCAATGGAGGCCTAGACATGTCCTCTCATTGACTCGCAAGAGGTCCAAGAAGCCTATGTAATCCCATTTGCTTTTTAGAATGCAAAATTTTGCTATACACCTACATAAAATCATGGGAAGTGCTCAAAAGTTAATAATTTGTGTCTCGAGAGAGTAGTTAATTGTAATATCGTGCGTGTAGGGTACTTACATAGTCCACAGCGTCAATATTTGAACATCGAGGGAGAGTTTCTGGTATACCTGGAACAAGCACTCCCACTCGACATTGAACTTCTCTTCTTCAGGATAATGGAAAACATGTGGCGAACGGATAATAACCTCAAAACCAAAGTCACCCGTCTCTGTTTCTTGAGCCATGTAATATTCATGTAACTGGCGCATATATGTTGTCAGATTTTTATACTCATGATCAGGAACCAAAATATTGCCTCTTTCATACTTCATTGCCGGTGTTCCCGTCCCTTGTACATCATAATAGATGTTCGCAGCCTCTTCCATGGTTAATCCTGGGTTGTCTTCGACGTATTTCTGTATGTTCCTTAAATCTTTATTGTGTATTTCTTCATCTCTTATTGTAACGTATTTATTCTGTGTTTGCCTTTCGAATTCGAACTTCAATAAAAACAAAGGCAGTAAGACACAGAGATTGAAGAAACTAACACAATCTTCCTTCGAGATGTGTGCTATAAAATTTTCTTTCATCAAGGTGGTAACGCGGCCACTGAACGGCCTTTTTCTTTTTTGTTGGTCCACTTTAGGAGCATTAGCGACCGAATCCAAAGACCTTTTCTGTGACTACGAGGATGTCCTTGATCTTGTTTTGGGTTGAGGTGGAGGAGGAGGAGGAGTCTCTTTTCTCAGGGATGATGAAGATGGAGTCGGACGAGGAGGAATAGAAGGAGACATCTGTCTTCTCGGGGCTAATGGCTCTGGACGAGGAGGGGAGTGATCTCTGTTGGGAGATGGTGAGTGATCATCATGGGTGGGCGAAGACTCGCAGTCGTCCTCATCATCAGAGGACAATTGATGGTCATGCTTAATGAAGCGCTTGCGCCAGGCCACTGGAGAGCTCTTGTTTTGACCAAGTTTCGACCTGTCTTCCGCTACGGGGTACTCAATGGGTATCTTGTTATACTTCTTATCAAGTATTCTGTCAATGGTGACGCGAGCGTACCCCTGTGGAATTGGGCAGCCATTAATTGTCTTGTCTCCCGCAGGCTAGGCCCGGCCAAGCGCCACCTTGTCCTTTGTCCATTCCTAATGGATGTACAACTTGACATTGACGGGTTCAGTAATGCCGTCCACCGGATGAGGCACATTCGTCTCTTCTTCGTCGAGTAGGGTCGATCCGCAGCTGCTGCGACCCCTAAACTGTGGGCTAAAGGCAGTAGGGGTAGGGTTTTGTGGTACTCCTGAGCCCTTGGACAGCAAAATTTGCTCAACTCGCTCTTCAACAGTCGCCTCAATCCATGCTTCTATTATGTCTTCCATCTCTTTTAGTCGCCTCAAATACTCTGCCTCCTGTTTCGCTCTACCCCTCGAGCGGCTTCTATAAGTGTTAGATTCTTGGGGGAATGCTAGTTTCCAAGGAACAACACCAGTTCCTCTAGTGCGACCAGGGTGCTCCTTGGTTCCGAGTGCTTGGGTGAGCACGTCTTTCTCCCTATTAGAAGTGCGAGTCCCTTGCCTCACCTCCTTAGTTACCTAGGAGATCCTCTGGATGAGTTCGCTCATGGGTTGATTTGTAGAGCTAAAGCTCCCATCCTCGGCATGCCGTACATTCCTCCCCATACAGTATATTACCGATCTGGGCTCCCAATCGACGGTCTCAACCTGAACGCCTTCCTCAGCAAGGCGATCCATCTTTTGAAGTTCTGCTTCAAATTCTGGCATCTTTTTGGCGTAGCCACAAGAGCCGAGATGATGAGGATTCGTCGCTTTCTGCGAGTTCTCCTTATTCTTCCTACTCAGTTCTAAGTACTCCTCAGATAACCTGTATTCCTTGAAATCCTGCCAGAAGTCCTTCTGCTTGCTAAACTATCTACCATCAAAATCTGGCTTTTTATTTTGGCGGACAAAATTCTTGTACAATGTCCCCTTGAAATTCTTGAAGCATGTCCCCATGATTTCTTTTACTTTTTTTCTTGACTAACTCCCTATCATACTCCATTGGGAAAGTGAAATACTCTAGGATCTTGACATCCCATATGTAATCCTTCTCACTTTCGAGAACCCTCCACGGGTCATCATCTTTCCCAATCCATTTCCTATACCTAATCGGGATGAAGTTCCTAATAAGTAACCCAAGGATAGTCTTGTATTTGGTCAAAGCTATAGGCAGTGGGAGTGGATCCCCGAATTCATCGAACTCAGTAATGTGCCAGTGTGCATTCCTACCAACAGGAATCTTTGACATGCCTCGCTTGGATCTGGCATTCCTGCTACCCGGACCCTCTAGCTCCTCGGCCGGTGGAGGCTCCTGCTAGAGACACCAAGTAAGCTATGACCCTCTCAATTGATTAG